AGGGATGCCCTCCCGAGAGCACTCTGATCAAAGATGAGTAAAAACAATTTGCATCACCACATTTATAAGATTAATGGTTGACAGATTTGGCAGACAAGAGAAAAAATTGTTGGAAAATGCAAGATCATCCCAATTAGGTGCATAGAAGCATGCTAATATCACTGGAACAAATATAGTTTTCCAGCAGCAAACACATATCGCTCAGCTGAATCGGCCTGTACACTAGACACCGAACTGTATATTGTTACTAATCATGATAGCAAACCCTCTTCCTCTGTACCAATAACTGGACTGGAATACTTGCCTACATGTAGGCGGACATATCTGGGTCTCCTGGAAAGTTGAATGTCTGCTCTCAGCTGTTTCAGATCTGTGATCACTTTTTTAAATTTCACTGGTTGGTTGATGGACTTAAAATTCCAGCTCACAAAATTTACTGACAAACCATTAAACGTTTCAATGTTGCTTACACAGGCCATAGTCTGTATCACCTGAAAATCAATGCATACATTTAATCTGCCACATAACGGAAACACCATCATAATGTATATAAAGGTCTGAGAAAATAATTCCAACCCCTTTCACCTATAGGAACATGGTGATTACAATACCCATCAAAACGAAATGTGGTGGCGAGAATATACCAGAGCGCCCACTCAGCCACATTAGTATATGCATGTTCATATATTCAATTCTATGCTTCAATCACGACCTCGGTTGTGCTAAGAGCATCTGGTTAGATGATCTCAGTGCTCTTTTGGGGTCATACATGTTGAGAAGTTTGCTTAAATAACTGGGCGCCACATTGTTTAAAACTTTAAAAGTAAATGAATTAATCTAAAATTAATATGATATTTGACAGGGAGCCAGTGCAAATTTGCTAAAACTGGAGTGATGTGTTCATACATTCTAACACCCATGCAGCAGCATTTTGGACTAACTGCAAGCGATGGAGAGATAGATGAGTGTGAAGACCCAAATAGAGAGTTGCAGTAGTGGTGAGTAGAGGTGATGAAAGCCTGAATAAGTGTTTCTAGGTCTCTTGGAGGAAACAATGAAAGGAGAGGTTGTATTTCCTAAAAATAGATCCCAAAGGTAGCATGTATAAGGAGAACAGAGTTGGACCCAAACAGACCCCTGTGGCACACCACAACACATCGGGGCAGAGGAAGAGGAGTTATTGGCCAATAGGAACAGAAAAAGACCTTGTAGTGGCGGCACTCCGTCTCTATTTCACTCTTCTTTACCACCTTTAGGAGTCAGTCCGGCAACATGCATTTGAAACGCGAGCAAGTCCAGGTACTTTTCTTGCAAAAAAGATGTTTATTGAAATTTTTAATTTACATGGCAAGACTCGGTCAAAAAACTGTTTTGCTTCCAGCTTATCCGACTCCCCAACTATGTAATTACAGTGTGCCGGAAGCCCAAAATACTAAAAAGCGCATTAGAATGTCGCACTTCTATATTCTATACCTTTAACAAAACAGTATTTTGAAATTAACTAGAAATTATATTCTTAATATCAAACGTATAATGTATATATCTCATTTAACCATTTTATCAGTACCAATAAAATTAACATTTAATTGGCTCTTACAGAGCTTCCTTGAAAAGGCGAGAAGGAAGAATATCCTGAGGGGAATTAGACAGTCTTAAGCGATCAATTACTTCCTTTAAGGCAGAAAATGTCACAGGCTCGAACTGCTGAAAAACAGCTGAGCATTTAGAGGGTGGATCTAGGTCGAACACTGCTGTGAATTTGGAGACCTTAAATTTTTTCAATGAAGTGTTTTAAAAAGTTTTCACACAGTGCAAAGGAAGCCTCACTAGGAACATTGGCACAGGGGTTAATCACAGAATTAAAAATATTAAAAAGAACTCGGGCCTTGTGATTGTTGGTAGAAATTACACCGGATAGGAAAGCAGATTTTGCAGCTTTAACAGTTTTCTGGTTATTTGTTAAGCGGTCATGCAGGATGCCCAAAGACACCTGGAGTTTCTCCTTTTTCCATTTTCTCTCTGCACGTTGACATTCGAGTCTGAGAGTGCGGGTGGTTTCATTCAGCCAAGGTTGACGTGAAGATTTGGTGCGTTTAGTCCTTAGTGGAGCAACAGAGTCAAGGATGTTGGAGCATATTGAGTTAAAAAGGTTAGCTAGTTCAACTGATAGTTCCGCACTAGGGTTGGCATCATAGAGGAGCGAGTTAGTAAAAGTGGGGGGAAAGTGAGCAGTGGTCACTGAATTGTTCGCATCTGACGCACAGGTCGCTCGCTGTCCAACTCCACATTACACACTGCAACATTAAACATAACTGGGAAATGATCTGATATCCCACAATCCTTGATTTCCGTAATC